TAAGATCACTTGCTGGCTTATTAATGCTAAGGAATAGTCGCGACAACATCTACTTGCTATTTAGTCATCTTTAACCATGTAGGATAAACATAAAGTATGAGATGTTTCATTTAAGGTGATAGTCAAAGTATCCCACAATCATAAGTGTAGAGCTGACGTTCCCATTGATATTCACATAGCCTTGCTTTTCCACAAGATATTCTCATCCAGAGTGGATTGCCGGTTCGACCTCGCCTAGGCCTTACTGACACCGCCAGTGAGACTCGAACCACGACAGCTAGGCATATAATCTCGACACCTTAATCACTACGCCACATTGCCACGAGTACCCTTTAGTCAAAGGGCAGATGTGAATTTCGATGAAGAACAGGCATTTTTCCATATCTCATTCTTTGGTGAGATTGTTGATGAGGTAAATTTATATTTGATATGACAATCAACTACATTACCTATTTTTCGTTTATAAGTAGGCTGTCGAGACTACCGGTACATCAGTTATATGAAATGTATTCACTTTATTTCTATTGAGTCTCAAAACCCGAGTTACAAACGAAAAACATAATGTTACTTACAAAATCATAGGATGTCCCATTGTGATAGCAAACTTTGGTTTAGTAGGTGAATACATTTGGTGTTTCGGTGCGATTTGTCGCAAAGTAATGTTGTCTACTATCACATGGCAGACGAAAGCTCAGGCCAGATTGGACAGTCGCAGAACGGTGAGCCGTGGACTTTTTCGCATGATCCCAAAATATTCACATCAAGGCAATAAGCCTTTCCAACCGATTTTTTACCTGAACTGAAAATTCAAGTCACACTAAATCACTAATGGAATCTTCGAGACACAGCTTTTCTTTTTATAAGAAGTTCTTTTAGCCAAGCGACTGACATGTTTGTCCCGCAACTCGTGTGACCATGGCGTTTGTTTAAATTTAGCGCGGATCATTTAGCTATCACGCTGTAGAAAAAAACCAGATAAGTTAAATATGTAAAGTAAATTCTGTACTATGTGAAGGAGTGAACTGGAGACTTATCCGGATAAATGGTCCTAGCACTGATGGCTGTCAGAAGACTGACATAAAATTCCATGTCATGGATAGTTTTTTCTTTTAGTTGGATCCACCGCAGGCATAAAGGCTGCATTCCGGATTGTCAAAGCTCAGAGTATGGCAAAGGGAAGTTACAACCTATACGGACCCCACCATAGGGTAAAAAAACGCTAAATGTCATTTGGGCGTGGATATTATGAATCTGTTGTTTTCTAAACCATTCCAAATTGTGGTTGCGAATAGTTGAAGTAATTGCACAATACCTGAGCCTAGGTTTTAGTGTCAGCCTAGCCTCGGTCTCACAACTAGAATTGGCAGGATTCGAACTACTCGCATTTTGAGAATGCCTAAGAATAAGGAGAATAACCGCAATTGATGACAAACCATCCACTTTAATGTCAGCTGGCTTGTACCACAAGCCTTTTGAGAGTGCCGATAAGATGTTTGGCGAAAATCTCCAAGTCTGAAAGAATATTAGATTGCGAAAAGCAGCAAAAATTGACCTGTTTTCCGCTTTCAGCTGAAGGAGAGTATTGCTCTTTTGAATCCGCTAATGCGCGGAAACCCGTGAGGAAGTGAGTTGGTTGGGCAAGTCATTGACAGTTAGAGACGGATCTGCCCGGACAGATGACTCCAGAGGCGTGATATTTGGCGAGGGAGCCCAAATGAAAGCATCCTTCTCAATGGAGAAAATAAAACCGGGGTACGTTGAGAATATGGAGGAAGGTTTTCTCTCATCTGTCCTTAAGATTCCGATGGGACTCATGCTGGACTTGGTACTAGCGTCAATTAAGATATTAATTAAATATAAATCAGTCCCTTTTGAAGTGAATTGATAACGACACTTTACAAGGAACTTTGAAGTTACCGAATTCTAGTGTTTTTAGCCCTGTTTACAATAGTAAATAGGATGAAACTTTTTATTTACTAATTTATTAATTAGATCTGATTTATAGAAATTAATATTTGTTGGGTTGTGGCAACTGAAATATTCAAAATAAGTTGTTTTGTGCGTGTTTCTGTTACATTCTCTTAATTATTTCCCAGTTTACAATTGTGCACTGCCGATAAAATTACTGTTGACTGTTTTCTTGTACATGACTCCAATGTCTGTTTCCTGCTGTCATGACCGATCATTAGTTGAAACTAACAGGGCGACACTAAATAGCTCGGCGAAATGCACAATTTTTTTCGAGACTATATCATGCTTTGAAAACACTTTTGCTGTTTTAGAAGTCAGCTGCCGGAAACTCTCGAATAAGCCATTGTGAACGAAAGTTCTTTGATCATAGGGTTCCGG